CTAAAATTGTATTATCCAGGGAAACCTTACTGTAATGTTGTATATCCTTCTATTAATAGAAGGAATACATCATGTACATAAATTTAATAAAAATAGCACACATTGCATATTAAAGCCATCACTTGGCAATTATTACTTTGGATTGTGCTAAAATGAACTATTCAATGAAAATAATGTTTTCTGTGTGACAAAAAGTAGGGGTAAATCTTTGTACAGTAATTGTAGTTTTCATTGAAGGGCCAGTTGATAGAGAATTCTAAATTGCCTATAATTCAATTTTCATGGGTTGGTTTTTAGTGAGATAAGCTAGATTACCTTGAAGCTTAATTACATTTAGTGTATTGTACCTTGATTTATGGCCTAAGATGGAAAGTGGACCACATAGGCACATTCAAGTAGAAATGAGTTCCCATCCTTTGTGTCAAGTACAACTAATAATCGCTTTTGCTGAGGGAATTTTTCTTATATATGCATCATAAAGTCTTTATTTTTATTTTTTGAGACAGCTTCTCATTCTTACTGAGGCTGGATTGCAGTGGCACAGTCATAGCTCACTGCAGCCCCAAACTCCTGGGCTCAAGTGATCCTCCTGCCTCAGCCTCCCAAGTAGCTAGGAGTACAGTGCATGCCACCACACTCAGCTAAGATCTTTTTTTCAAAATGAGGTCTTTTAAAACATAACTGTAATCTATTTTTTTAAAGGTGAAGATTAGAAAATGATTTTTCATTTGTAATTCATCCTACTAGTATTTATTAAACCCCTGCTCCATGGTTCTGTGCTAGGTGCTAAACAGTACAGTAGTAAAAACAAATGTGGATAGTGCTTTTTACTGTGTGAAATGCTCTTGTGTATGATTTCTAGGCCCTAACCCCAGAGATTCTCATTGAGTACTTCTGGAATGCTCAGTTTCAAAAGCTCCCCAGATGATGTACAAGGAGAGAAAAACAAAACAAACTCTTTGGGTAAATTATCTACATAAGTCCCTAACAGTCTGGTGAAGTCAGGATTCTTATCCCCACCTAAAAAGGAAGTCAGTAGGTTGGTGCACTGGTTCATGCCTGTAATCCCAGCACTTTGGGATCATGAGGTCAAGAGATTGAGACCATTCTGGCCAACATGGTGAAACCCTGTCTCTACTAAAAATACGAAAGTTAGCTGGGTGTGGTGGCACATGCCTGTAATCCCAGCTACTCAGGAGGCTGAGGCAGGAGAATTGCTTGAACCCAGGAGGTGGAGGTTGCAGTGAGCTGAGATCATGCCACTGTACTCCAGCCTGACAACAGAGTGAGGCTCCATCTCAAAAAAGATAGGGAGTCAGTAGAAGCCTAGGGTTGAACATCACACTGCTTGACCAGGGGAAAGAGTCTACCCATTCTATGTAAGCCCACTGCCCTTTGCTGTCAACTTGGTTCATGTTTCCCTTTTGGGCACGGATTTCTTTTTACTCCTACCTGTCTTTCCCAATACCAAAAACCTGGTATGAGTGTTTCCCTTAAAACGAACTAATTTCATATAAGTTCCAATATATTATGACCCAGTATATGCCAAATGATTAACAGTGACCCTTCGAAGTATGTAATTACGGGGGACTTTGCTGTTTTACATTTTCCATGTTTTTTCTTTTGCATCATTGAGATGATATTCACTGATTTTTAAAAACATTTTGCCCTCCTCCCCTCCCCCCCTTTTTTTCTTTTGAGACGGAGTCTCACTGTCATCCAGGCTGGAGTGCAGTGGTGCCATCTTGGCTCACTGCAACCTCCATCTCCTGGATTCAATCGATTCTTGTGCCTCAGCCTCCTTAGTAGCTGGGATTACAGGTATGCGCCACCATGCCTGGCTAATTTTTGTTTTTAGTACAGGGTTTCACCATGTTGGCCAGGCTGGTCTCAAATTCCTGACCTCAAGTGATCCACCCGGCTCGGCCTCCCATAGTGCTGGGATTACAGGCGTGAGCCACCGCAGGCCCAGCCCTTTTGTGACTTTTTATATTATGTGCAAGTTCTCTTTTTTTTAGTAGTAAGCTGTCATTTTTATATTCTGACCAAAAATTTTAAGAAAAGAACTTATGGCTCCCTACAGGGAATTTTATCAAAATCAAGGTATGGGATTATTTGGGGGAGAGAAGGCTGCCAGCACCAGATACACAGTCGGTGGCGAGTGACCAGTGTGATGGGGATAAGGTTGTGGTCCAGAAAAGAATTAGCCTGCCTTCTTCAGGGCTTACTCCCCTAGTGGTTGTGGAATGGCTACTGAAGTTCCAGAGGACACGCTCTGATATGATAATGTCCAGAGAAGAAGGAGATGGTCTCTTCCTGTATACCTCCTTTTAAGAGTGAAGAAACCTTTCTCAAAGCCCACCAGCGTAAGACCTCTCTAGTGTCATTGGACAACAGAAGTGTATCAGATGCTTCTAGCCAAAGCAAGCCTTGGCAAGGGGAATGGTACTGTCTCCACAGCCTTAGACTTCTCAGGGCCTGCTTTCTGAAGAAGCATGTGGCCAGGAGGAGGAGGAGGAGGAGGATGCAGCCTCCAATCAGTTTGAGCTTATTAGATGGTGATATCTCTTACTAAAAAAAAAAAAAAGAAAAAAAGTTGGGCTTTGTTGGAAAAGAAAGCTGTGGATGTTGGTGAGAACCCAGTGTCTGCTACAGGGGCATTCCCTAGTTGGGAAGTTACGTAGCTAGGGTGGCTGAAAGAAAAAGAAGTAATTTCTTCTGTGAGTTGTTACCTGGCAAAATTTAGGCATCTGAGATACCACAGTGCATTTGTTAGATCGTGGCACTTCATTTTAAAGGGATAATGCTGTCCAGAACAGAATGACTGGAATGGTGAAGAAAGTGAAACATTTGACATGAAACGTGAATGGATTGTAAGGGGATATTTAGCCCAGAGAAGAAAATGTGAGATTTAGTGGTGGTAGTACAGATCATTAATATTTTCACATATTTTATGCTTTGTCTCTGGAAGGCTAAACATGTAACTTGCTTAGGTGGAAGCAGGGTTTTTACTTGGAGAGGCGAGCTGTTAGAGCTCTCTTTTATTTTACTTCATTTAATTATGAGCATTTCCCACATAGGATAGTTAAACATGTAAAAAAAAGACCCTATGTCCAGCCCCCAGTTTTATTGAACCTTAACATTTCTCATGTATGTCTTAGCCTTTAAAAAAAAAAAAACCCACTGGATACAGAAATAAAAACATTACCAATAAAAGCCTCATTTGAACTTTCTGGAAGTAACTTGAATTAGGAGTTTACATTTCCATTCATGTTTTCATTAAATTTCCTTAGGCTGTTATTAGAGTTGTAACACATTTATCAGCACATAGTGTTAATTATTTGTGCATACTCTGATGGTTTTAGAAGGTAAGAATTCAAGTTGCTCAAACTGAAAGTAAAGATAGCCCCTTATTTAGGAAAGTGCCAGCCACCCTTGCTGCTCCTACCCAGCATTGAAAGCCCTTGAGTATTTTTGAGCTTTTAAGTACACAAAAGAAAAAAAAGCTCAGTATATTTTTGTAAATCAAACACTTGTGTAACTACGACTGAAGTCAAGAAATAAGATATTGCCAGTATCTCCCTTTCTTTTTCGCTCAGGAGTAACTGCTCCTCTGACTTTATGGTGATCACTTTTTCTGTTTCCTTATAGTATTACTTGCAGTGCATTGGTCCCTGAACACTGTAGTTCGTTGTTTTTTTTTTAGCTTCATATAAGTGAAATCATTCAGTATATATTTTTATGCATTTGGTCTCTTTCACTAGACACATTTTTGAGTGCCACATGTATTGAGTGTAGCTGTGGCTCACTGGTTTCCGTTGCTGCATAGTATTCCATTATATGAATAAACCTGAATTCGTTCTGCTGTTGATGGATGTTTGAATTGTTTCCAGTTTGAGGTTATTAAGATAATGCTGTTCTCTCTGTGGTTTGCCTTTTCACTCTCTTCATGATATTTTTTGAGTAAGTTCTTAACTTAATGTCTAATTTTTTAGTTTTTTTTATTATTATTATGGTAGGTACTTTTGGTATCCTGTTTGAGAAGTCTTTCCTACCCTGAGGATTTAATGATAGTCTCCTATATTGTCTGTGAGGAGCTTTATTGTTTTGCCTCTCACATTTGGAGCTATAATTTAACTGGATTTTTGTGCAGCTGCGAAGTTAGGGGCCATTTCATTTCTGTTTTTTCCACATGGATATCTGGTCTGCACCATTTATTGTCAAGATCATCCTTTCCCTATTGCTCAGCTCAGTCACCCTTGTTGTAAATCAGGTATCGCAAATGAATGTGTTCCTGGGTGTTCTCTCCTATTCCATTCATCTCTTTGTTGATGCTTGTACCAGCTCCACATTGTTTTAATTATTGTAAAATAAGATTTTATATCTACTAGATCAAGCCTTTCTACCTTGCTTGTCTTGAATAGTGTCTTAGCTCTTCCTTTAACCCTTTTCTTTTCACATAAATTTGCCACATTTCACCAAAACAACTACCTGTTAGAATTTTGATTTTGCATTTTGTCTATAGTTTAATGGGGGAAAATTTGACATTTTTCAAATACTGAGGTTTCCAATCCAGGATCATGACATGTATTTTATTTAGGCCCTCTATAATTCTCCCTTCAGTGTTAGGCAGCTTTCTGCATGCAGATCTTGTATATCTTTTGTTAGATTTATTCATAGGTATTTGATCTTTTTTATGCTATTGTAAATATTTTGTTGTCTGTGTGGTTGTGGAAATACAATTGATATTTTCAGATTGACCTTGTATTTAGTAACCTTGCTAAACTTGCATACTAATTATAATAATTTATCTGTAACTGTGAATTTATCTTAGTTATTCTGTGAATTTTGACAGCTCTATTTCCAACCAATCTTTGTAACTTTTACTTCTTTTTCTTGCTTTGCTGCACTGGCTAAAATGTTCAGATAGAAGAGATAATAGCTGGTATCTTAGTCTGACTTCTCTCAGAGGGAAACTGTTTTTGCAATTTATATGATACTTGTAGTTTTTTGGTAGATATCAAACCCTTTATCAGATAAGGAAGAGCTTATATTCTAAGTTTGCCAAAGATTCTTCTCATGAATGAATGTTAGGTTTTTTCAGACATCTTTTTTGGCAAGTATAATAAGATGGTCATACGATTTTAATTTTGATGGTGCTGTATATAAGAAACTTCACGTTCCTGAAATGAACCAAACTTGGTTTGTTTATTTTCTGGATTTGATTTGCAAAAAAATTTGTTCAGGAGTTTTGCCTTTTTGCTCATAAGTGAGTTTGACCTGTAATTTTTCTCTTTTTATTATATGCTTGTCAAGTTCTGATTTCAGTTACTGGCCTCATAAGTTTTGGGGGAGGGAGCATTGCCTTTATTATTATTATTATTTGAGATGGAATCTCACCCTGTTGCCCACACTGGAGTGCGGTGGCATGGTCTCTGCTCACTGCAACCTTTGCCTCCTGGGTTCAAGTGCTTCCTGCCTCAGCCTCCTGAGTAGCTGAGATTACAGGAGCCAGCCACCATGCCTGGCTAATTTTTGTAGTTTTTGCTGAGATGGGGTTTCACCATGTTGGCCAGGCTGGTCTCAAACTCTTGACCTCAAGTGATCCACCCACCTTAGCCTCCCAAAGTGCTAAGATTACAGGCGTGAGTCACCATGCCCAGCCAGACATGTCATTTATACAGGTGCTTACAGATTGATTAATTTGAGGTCTAGGCTAATGTGTGTTCCAGACACAAGTTTTCATTCGACTTGGAGCCAGAGGACACTAGCAATCCAGGATCTTACTCCAAGTTCCTGGACTGTGATGATAACTGAAGCTGAAGTCTGTGGAGTCCTGTCAGTTTCTAATTTATCTTTCTAGATTCATATGCTTTCAGTTACAAACTCCAAAGCTTTAAGTTCTCCAAGTTATGAAAAATTTAGAAAATCCGGTTTTGACCACAACAAAAACAATCCCCCAAAAACCAAAACTGCAGTTTACCTTTCAGGTAAAAAACTATTTTGTTTTTCTGGTTTTGTTTTCTTTGCATCTTAACTTCTCAGAGTAGATTCCCCCTTATGCGTGTATAACTCATTTTTTTCTTCATTTAACATATTGAATAATTTCCCAGCCATTACATACTTTATAACATGTGTATAGCTTTTTTGGGATCACCCTTCATGGTTTGGGGCTTTTGAACACCTTGAAATTTTAAATGTACAACATTCACCCCTCTAAATAGCCATTCATACTGTGGATTTGGATTTGAATACCTAAACTTTTGTATAAACATTTTGAGTTATTACATAGGGATGTTGCCTGCTAGCCATTGGATATTTGCAGTAGTATTGAACTGTTATTTGAATATTTTACTGCGTTTTGCCCTGATTTTATCAGAGTGAAAAAGGAGAGAAAAATGTTTATTTTATTGATAAGAAGCACATGGTGATAATTGGTGTTTTTTTGGTGTTTTTCTAGGTAGAGTTTCTTTGAACTTAGGCAAATACTCAGTGGGCTCAATTATGTGGAAAAAATTAAGGAATGCCGATAAAATACTGGAAATAAAATTTCAAGGGCGTGTTTCCCCCTAAAACAGTAGAAGTAATTGGGATCTGATAAATTATTACTTACTAGTAGCAGAATCCCCAAATAACATGCATACGTTTGTAATGGGTTCATGTTTACAGTTATACACCTTATGTGAAAGTAGAGGGCCCTTTTCTTTGCGGAATCACCATGGCAGCTGGGACCCTGTACACGTATCCTGAAAACTGGAGGGCCTTCAAGGCCCTCATCGCTGCTCAGTACAGCGGGGCTCAGGTCCGCGTGCTCTCCGCACCACCCCACTTCCTCTTTGGCCAAACCAACCGCACCCCTGAATTTCTCCGCAAATTTTCTGCCGGCAAGGTTCCAGCATTTGAGGGTGACGACGGATTCTGTGTGTTTGAGAGCAATGCCATTGCCTACTATATGAGCAATGAGGAGCTGCGGGGAAGTACTCCAGAGGTAGCAGCCCAGGTGGTGCAGTGGGTGAGCTTTGCTGATAGCGACATAGTACCTCCAGCCAGTACCTGGGTGTTCCCCACCTTGGGCATCATGCACCACAACAAACAGGCCACTGAGAATGCAAAGGAGGAAGTGAGGCGAATTCTGGGGCTGCTGGATGCTCACTTGAAGATGAGGACTTTTCTGGTGGGCGAACGAGTGACATTGGCTGACATCACAGTTGTCTGCACTTTGTTGTGGCTTTATAAACAGGTCCTAGAGCCTTCTTTTCGCCAGGCCTGTCCCAGTACCAACCGCTGGTTCCTCACCTGCATTAACCAGCCCCAGTTCTGGGCTGTCTTGGGGGAAGTGAAACTGTGTGAGAAGATGGCCCAGTCTGATGCTAAAAAGTTTGCGGAGAGCCAACCTAAAAGGGACACACCACGGAAAGAGAAGGGTTCGTGGGAAGAGAAGCAGAAGCCCCAGGCCGAGCGGAAGGAGGAGAAAAAGGCAGCTGCCCCTGCTCCTGAGGAGGAGATGGATGAATGTGAGCAGGTGCTGGCTGCTGAGCCCAAGGCCAAAGACCCCTTTGCTCACCTGCCCAAAAGTATCTTTGTGTTGGATGAATTTAAGCCCAAGTACTCCAATGAGGACACACTCCCTGTGGCACTGCCGTATTTCTGGGAGCACTTTGATAAGGACGGCTGGTCCCTGTGGTACTCAGAGTATCGCTTCCCTGAAGAACTCACTCAGTCCTTCATGAGCTGCAGTCTCATCACTGGAATGTTCCAGCGACTGGACAAGCTGAGGAAGAATGCCTTCACCAGTGTCATCCTCTTTGGAACCAACAATAGTAGCTCCATTTCTGGAGTCTGTCTCTTCCGAGGCCAGGAGCTTGCCTTTCCGCTGAGTCCAGATTGGCAGGTGGACTACGAGTCATACACGTGGCGGAAACTGGATCCTGGCAGCGAGGAGGCCCAGATGCTGGTTCAAGAGTACTTCTCCTGGGAGGGGGCCTTCCAGCATGTGGGCAAAGCCTTCAATCAGGGCAAGATCTTCAAGTGAACATCTCTTGCCATCGCCTTGCTGCCTGCACCTGCCCTTCAGGGAGATGGGGGTCATTAAAGGAAACGGAACATTGAAGAAAAAAAAAAAAAGAAGAAAGTAGAGGACTGCCTATTCTATAATTTATTTGATGCCTTTATAATTGAACATGCATGTTTCTTATTTTTCTCTAATGTAAACTGAATACTGTGGATAGCTTTTAAAAAAAAATCATTGTGGCTATATCCCAAATTGGCATTTAAAAGAACCTCTAGAAAGGACTTGATCGAAAGTGGAAGACTTTGTGGTAGTTGGTTCATTTGAGGCTCTTATAGTCATCATTATTAGCAAACATTTATTAAATTGCTATATACAGGGCACTGTGACAAAACAAATACCATAGCTGAAGGCACTATATGGTTCCTAAGATGATACAATAAATAGAATAAACTTTTTCTGTTGGAGAAATGCCGGTCAACACTTTTCCAGTCTTCTTACAGATTTTATTAATTTAGCATTTTAATTGTTATTACTCAAAAAAGCTTCATTTTGTTTTGAGAGTTTTGCTCTTGTTTCCCAGGCTAGAATGCAGTGGCTCAATCTTGGCTCACTACAACTTCCGCCTCCCAGGTTCAAGTGATTCTCCTGCCTCAGCCTGCCGAGTAGCTGGGATTATAGGCACCTGTTGCCACTCCCAGCTAATTTTTTTTTTTTTTTTTGAGACGTAGTTTCACTCTTATTACCCAGTCTGGAGTGCAATGGCGCGATCTCGGCTCACTGCAACCTCTGCCTCCTGGGTTCAGGCAATTCTCCTGCCTCAGCTTCCTGAGTAGCTGGGATTACAGGCACGCACCACCATGCCCAGCTAATATTTTGTATTTTTAGTAGAGACGGGGTTTCACCATGTTGACCAGGATGGTGTGGGTCTCTTGACCTCGTGATCCACCCACTTCGTCCTCCCAAAGTGCTGGGATTACAGGCATGAACCACCTCACCCCGCCTCATTTTTTAATTTAACTTTTGACTTTGTGCTTGTGCTTTTAATACTTCCAGAATGATTTTCTGCTTCTCAATAACGAAAGCATGCTTGATCTGGTCACTAACACATACCGAACAAATGGAACCACATAGGCCCTGATGCTATGTATTTTGTTTTGGACAACCTCCTAAGAACTTCTGGTCTCCCAGCTTGAAGCCCTCTAAGTCTGCCTGGGCACACACCACTGCTTTTGGGACAGCCTAATTTTGTTGGAGGCTGTATTGTAGGAAAGCCTGTGACAGTATGTCAGACTCATTGCTTATAGATAGCATCCCCAGAAGAGGGAGAAAAAAAAAACTTTCCATCTACAGATTTAAAAAATATAGCTTATCTGTTTTCTTACTTATTTATAGTGTTTCCTGCCAGATGTTTTACACATTGGCCACAAGACATAAGCATTTTCTAAATTGAATAGCCTAAAATCCCCAGATCTTTTCGTGTATATGGTAAAATATATATAACATAAACTTTATTAACCATTATAACTTTTTATTTATTTATTTATTTTTGAGACATGGTTATCACTCTGTTGCCCAGGCTGCAGTGCAGTGGCACAGTCATAGCCCACTAGAGGTTTGACTTCCTGGGCTCAGATGACCCTCCCGCCTCCCAAGTAGCTGGGACCACAGGCGAGAGCCATCATGGCTGGCAAATTAAACATTTTTTTTTGGTGGAGATGAGGACTTGCTCTGTTGCCCAAGCTGGTGTTGAACTCCTGGCCTCAAGCATCCTTGCCTCGGCCTCCCCAAGTACTGTGATACAGGCGTGAGCTGCCAAGCCCTGCCTTAAAATATTTTTTGTGGTAAGAGCACTTAACATGAGATCTACTCTTAAATTTTTAAGTGCACAAAAGAATATTGTTCATTGTAGATAAAACGTTATACAGCAAATCTCCAGAAACTTACGCATCTTGCAAAACGAAAACTTTATCTGTTGAACAGCAGCTGTTTTTTCCTCCCTTCAGCCTGTGAAGGGAGGACAGTTCTATAATTTGATTATTTTAGATATCCCACATAAGTGAAATCTTGCAGTACTTACCCTTTTGTGACTGGTTTATTTTACGTAGCATAATGCCCTCCAGGTTCATTCATGTTGTTGAATATGGCAGAATTTACATTTTTTTTAGGCTTAACAATATTCCATTTTATGTATATATCACATTTTTCTTACTCATCTCTCAGTGGACATTTAGGTTGTTTCCATGTATTGGCTATTGTCAGTGATTCTGCATTGAACATGGAAATGCATGTATCTGTCTGGGATAATGATTTTAATTATTCTGGGTATACCCAGATGTGAGATTGATGGATCAAATGGTAATTCTACTTTTAATTCTTTAAGAATCTTCATGCTGTTTTCCATAGCAGCTGCACCATTTTTTTTCACCAATAGCATACAAGAGTTTCTCCACATCCTTGTGAATACTTATCTTTATAAATATATAGCCATTTTAACAAATGTCAGGTGATGTTTTAATTTGCATTTCTTGGGCGATTGGTGATGTTGAGCATCTTTTTGTGTACCTGTTGGTCATTTATGTCTTTTTGGAGAAATGTTTATTCAGGCCCTTTGCTTATTTTCTAAATCGGGCTTTTGGTGTTTTGTGTGTGTGTGTGTGTGTGTGTGTTGCCATTGAGTTTTCTGAGTTCCTTATATATTTTGCATATTAATTCCTTATCAGATAAAGGATTTGCATATACTTTCTCCTATTCTGTAGGTTGCCTTATTACTTTATTATTTCTTTTGCCAAAACTTTGTAGAAGCTTTTTAGTTTGATGTAGTGCCATTTGTCTAAGTTTGCTTTTTTTCTTATTAAAATTTTATTTTATTTATTTTTGAGATGGAGTCTTACTCTGTCACCTAGGTTGGAGTGCAGTGGCTGGCATAGTCATGGCTCATTGCAGCCTCGACCTCCCAGGCTCAAGCCATTCTCTCACCTCAGCCTGCAGTGTAGCTGGGACCACAGGTGTGTATCACCATGTCTGGCTAATTTTGTTTTTTGGTGGGGGTGTGTTTGTGTAGACACTGGGTTTTACCATGTTGCCCAAGCTGGTCTTGAACTCTTGGGCTTAAGCGATACCCATGCCTCGGCCTTCAAAAATGCTGGGAGTACAGATGTGAGCTACTGCGCCTTGCCGTTTGTTGAGAATTTTATTATAAAACAACATTGAAGTTTTTGTTGTTGTTGTTGTTGTTGTTTTGAGATGGAGTCTTGCTGCATCACCCAGGCTGGAGTCCAGGCTCACTGCAACCTCAACCTTCCTGGTTCAAGTGATTCTCCTGCCTCAGCCTCTCGAATAACGGGAACTACAGGTGCATGCCGCCATGCCCAGCTAATTTTTGTATTTTTCGTAGAGATGAGGTTTCACCATGTTGGCCAGGATGGTCTCCATCTCTTGACCTTGTGATCCTTCTGCTTTGGCCTCCCAAAGTGCTGAAGAAATCAAATGGGAAATTAAAAAATGTTTTGAACAAAAGAAAACACAACATACCAAAATCTCTGGGATGCAGCAATAGCAGCAATGAGAGGGAAGTTTATTGCAATAAATGACTACATTAAAAGATCTCAAACAGTCTAACTGTACACCTCAAACTAGAAAAAGAAGAATAAGCCAATCCCAGAGTGAGCAGAGGAAGAAAACAATCTGCAACAGAATGAACAGAAACAATAGAAAAACAATAGAAAAGAATCAAAGTAAGAGTTGGTTTTTTGGAAAGATAAGCAAAATTGACAGACACTTGTTTTGACTAAGAAAAACAGAAGACTCAAAATTAGGTATGAAAGAGGAGACATTACACCTGATACTGTGAAAATAAAAAGTATGATGAGACTATTATGAACAGTTGTATGCCAAAAAATTGGATAACCCAGAAGAAATTGTTAAATTTCTAGAAACATACAAACTACCAAGACTGAATCATGAAGAAATAGAAAATTTGAGCAGACCAATAACAATGAAGATTGAGTCAGTAATCAAAAACCTCCCAACAGGCGGAGTGCAGTGACTTATGCCTATAATCCCAGCACTTTGGGAGGCCGAGGTGGGTGGATCACCTGAGGTCAGGAGTTTGAGACCATCCTTAACAACATGACAAAATCCTGTCTCTTCTAAAAATACAAAAAAATTAGCCAGGCATGGTGGCACGTGCGTGTAATCCCAGCTACTCAGGAGGCTGAGGCAGAAGAATTGCTTGAACCTGGGAGGCAGAGGTTACAGTGAGCTAAGATGGTGCCACTGAACCCCAGTCTGGGCAACAGCGAGACTCCATCTCAAAAGAAAAAAAAACAAAACTTCCAACTAAGAAAAGCTCAGGACCAGATGGCTTCACTGGGCAATTGTACTAAACATTAAAGAATTGACACCAGTTCTTCTCATCGTCTTCCAAAATATTGAAGAAGAAACACTTTAATTTTAACTACTTTAAAGTGTACAATTCGGTGGCATTAAGGACATCCACAGTGTTGTGCATCATCCTCACTGTTCATTCCACTACTTTTTCAGCCAAACAGAAACCCTGTGCCCATTAGACACTAACTTTCTATTCCCCTCGATCCCCCAGTCCCTGGTAACCTCTCTATGAATTTGCCTATTCTAGGACTTAAGTAAGTGAAATCATAAAACATGTCCTTTTGAGTTTGGCATATTTTATTTAGCATAATATTTTCAAGGGCTTTTGCATCAGAATTTCATTTCTTTTTGAGACTGAGTAATATTCCATTGTGCATATATACCGCATATTCATCTGTTGATGGACACTTGTGGGATGTTTCTACCATTTTGTTCCTGTAAACAGTGCTGCTATGAAAATTGGTGTACATGTATCTGTGTGAGTCCCTGCTTTCAGTTCTCTTGGATATTTACTAAGAAGTGAAATTGCTGGATCATACAGTATTCTGTGTTTAAATTTTTGAGTAATTGCCAAATTGTTTTTCCACAGTGATACAGTGACTGTACTGTTCTATATTCTCACTGACAGTGGACAAGGGTTCCAATTTCTCTACATCCTTGCCAACAGATATTTACTTTTTTCAAATAACCATCCTAATGGGCATGGAGCA